CTAAAATCAGCACTCACACGCATCAAGTGGCTGGAAACGGTTTTGGAATCCTACAGACGTGAGATGCTGGAACCTAGCAGGAATATTTTCCACCTACAATGAGCTAAACATTTAGCTACTATGCATGCTTGCGTCATTCTTACAGTTTTTCGTCAAAATCCACAACTGGCACGGTGCTAAATCGAAAACTAGTCAAAAACACTAGCTGTAGTTTTATAGGGATATTTGTCGTCCATTTAGGAAATCGTATACCTAAATGGAGTTTCGAATTGCGCTTGTGACGTAAATTAAGGCATGCCAAAGATATTTGTAGCGAATTGGCGATTTCAGATAGCGGACAAGCTGCGAAGCTGAGTTTTGCAAGGTATTCGGTGTTCATATGTGGTCTAAATTCAGCTTGGAGGCTAAATTTCATGCGCAAGGGCATGAAAAACACTCACTTTTACTGCAAACTCAAAAAAGAACGCTGTTGCGAATTTCGATATCCTTCTCTCTCAGCACCTTTCTGCTTGTCCAATTTGCATTTTTATGCTTTTTTTATAAATATATAATTGCAAAAACGCATTTTTCGACAACGCATCGTGTATGTTTGTGTATGTGTGTTTCAACTCGGCGACCCAGTAAGCTTTGACGCTGAACTTTGCCAGTAGGTTTCTTGGCCCCGTTTGACTTCAGAAAAGTGGCACCAACTTTCCACTCGTCTGAGCCCGCGTACAGGTACGTGGAAGTTTCTTTTTGCGAGTAAATTGCTAATTCGAAAACCAGAAAAGCTGGAGGGCTGAATTTTAAAGGGATGCTTCCTGTCCGCGTGCAAATTAAAGATTTCAAATTCATCTCCTGGGTACAGCGTGGTCCTCGTCCACTGCCGCATGAAAATTCTGGTAGGGAAATTGCTTACTCGAAGGCTAGGGAATCTGGAAGGCTGAAATTTTAAGAGGATGTTCCTTGTCTAACTTATAGATTTCAAATTTAGCTCCTACATATGCATGATTCTTACTTACGGACACGTGAAAGTTTTGGCGGGAAAACGACTGGGTCAGGAACCAGAATGGCCAGATCATTTTCAATAAATGATCGTTTAACAAAAATTATTCATTTTCCTTTATACAAAATTTACGATACTTTACGACAGTGAATGCACAAGTGTAAATGTAAAACAAATCACAAAATTAACTACTCGACTGCATGATGGTTAGTGCAGAAACAATCGCACTGGCAAGTGTGGAGGGTTCCAGCCTGAGTGCAGTGAACGACTGGTCATCGAATAAATTTGCGGAATTCTTGCGTGTTAGAGTTTAAGATTCATTCGGCCCGATGATGCAGCGCCATCGTCCCAGCAAACACCTTTCTTATGCATGAAAAGGAAAAACGCGCCCGACATGAGTCCACTTATTAAACTGTGAAGCAGCAGTTTGCTTTCGTGAGTGATCACGTTTCACATCTTTGCATCTGTGTTGGGCACAAGGGTTTTGAAAGGATGGCCAGCTGTTTTTCTGTTCATCTCTTTGAGGATACTGACAACACTGTTTAACTCGCTGCAGCCGACGGTACTTGTATGTGCGATCCTAAAATTACGTAGCTTGTGGCGCTTGTTTGTTCCCTGGTCAGAATGGATGAAAGTGTTAATTTCTTGCAGCTTATCACCGTCTATGTGCAACTAAGCAGACTGCAGCGTCCAGGTTGACCCGGAGATACAGATGGCAGTTATCAAGGAGTTCAGGGAAAGGAATAGTTTAGATTAGAGAAGGTAAGAGCGAGGTAAGAGGTTTCGGTTAATTAAGTCGTATATGTCCTAACACTGCGACTGGACCTCGTCAGTATGACGGTCGTAGTGCATAAGGAGAAGGAAGGAAAAAGAAAGAAAGGAGGAGGAAGTAAAAGAAGATGAAAACCAAAAGCGAGGACAAACAAAGATTGTAACATTATGAAGTAGGTGGAAAGAGGAGGAGAGGGTGGTTAGGGAGAAAGGTGAAAGTAGAAACACTAGGATCTAATGAATTTGGAAAGTGGGAAATGAAATAATGTAGGAAAAATTAGGCGGCGACAGCGTGTTACAGTGGGAGGGAAGTATTTGGCGAAGTGGAATCTGTCAAATCAAAAAGTAGACAGTGAAGACGATCAGGAGGAAAATCTTTAGCAGAGTAAACCTGAAGCAGTCGACGAGGCGAAGAGATAAATCCTTGAGGGGAGAACTCAATGCGCAAGTATCTTATAAGTTGACTGTAAACTGTACGAGCATGGACCGGTGCATTGCTATGAAGCGAAGAATACTTGTTGGTGGGGAAAGTGAAGCGGTCACTTTTACAATAAAGTGTGGAACCTATTTGGGCTTCATCTGTGGAAGCAGTCATATTTAAGTAATCAACGGAAGTTCCGGGGCCTGTGATCTCATTGTCCAGGTACTGGTCATATAAGTCCAAAAGAAACGGACGAAAATGAGGACAATTGAACATGAACAGGTAGTCACGTATCGACATAGGAGGATTGGGGATTGCTGGGGATCCTGCTAAACTTGAATTCAAGCACCGTGAGGATAAGGTCAGCAATATCGGAGCTTGCATTGCCTCCCATAAGGATACCCTTAAACTGACGGGAAATGGAAATCGGACATAGGCTTGGCCAACTACAGTGCGAAGGAGCTCGGTCGTTTTTCCGGTAAATGCTCGCTTTTTGAAAAAATGAAAAATACAAATTTCCAGTTCACTGAAAAGTGAAGGTATTGCTTGGGGTATGCAAAGCATTTTAGGTATGCGATCCAGGTATGCGGTTGAACTAACGTTCATTTACATATTTGGATGAGGGCGGTCTTTCGCTGCAAAACGCACTCTTTTCTGATTTTTTAGCAAAGTTGAGTATTTCTCACGCCTGCCTATAGGGAATTCCCTCTCCAAGCAGAATTAAGACCGCCCCTGGAAGAAAAATACCCCAGCGAATTTTTAGCCTCGCAGCCTGTCCGGTAAGCGAAATATCCACTTTGAAGTGCCCCAAGTCGTGGCGCAAGTGCAAATCGGTACTCATTTTAGGTACGCTATTTTCTCTATGGCAGACAAACATCCTGACAAAATTTCAACCACTGTTTTCCGCAAGTTTTCGAGTTAGCATAGTACCAAGTCGCAAAATTTGACGTGGTCGCACTGCGCAAGCGCGCGTGGCAGCTGAATTTGAAATCTTTAGCTTGCACATGCATGGAGAATATCCATCAAAGTTTCAGCCTTGTGCCTTGTCTGGTTCGCGAAATCGCCTGCCGCCAAAGAAATTTGCATATTTTTTTTTTGGGTGGGGGAGCCTGTACTCGAGGTCTAGGCAGAATTAAGACCGCACCTGAAAGAAAAATATCCCAGCGAATATCTTGAAACGGGAGTGTGGCACACGGAGTAGGAACATATACCCGAAATTTCAGCCTCCCAGCTTTTCTGGTTGCTGAGATGAGGGTGGGTGACAAAGTGCACTCGCTTCCACACAAACACACACACACAACCTTTCGACAATATGCGTTTTGAATGACAAAATGAATTTCATGACACCGTGTTACCAAACTGCTTCCGATGTCTGTTTTTTTCATAGATCCTTTCAGGCCCGAAAAGAACATTGAGCCAACAAGTTTTGCTAAGTGAAACGAGGAAACAGCTAACGATGAAAGCAGCACTAAAACCGCCGTCTGGCTGTTCAGTATATCCTGATCAAATCCAGCAGTTTTCCTTGTCTGCTTTACTAAATCGCCCTCTCCCAGATCCACTGCCTTCACCGATCAAGGAGGACAACGACGAGGTGCAGTTGCTGCACATTTGATTGTCCTAAGCAGAAAGCCAATGGGAGGTTGTAAATTTCTAGTCATGTAATTGTTTTTTGACAGAATCAGACTAGATGTTTTGGTTTAGTGGTAACTGTTGATCGCCGAATTAAGGAAAAATTGTTTCTGATTTTTTACGTATATTTCTGTGGAGTAGTACGTTGTGAAAGGGCACTGCCTTCTTTTACGATCAGTACTTTTTAATTGGGAGCACGCACCATCGTAAATTGCTAAAATTATCAGGTTAGTCAAGATGAAAGAAATGCATTGTCAAACATTTTATGAAAATTCACTCAGGCACAGCTGTGGCAGAACTCCCTTTCCTGAGTTGAATGCTCCCATCAGCACTAACTTCCCCTGCTATGTATGCTATCTCTTCAGGACCGCTCGAATGGTTATTTCCTTCCCTGAGAGTAAAATGCAGTAATGTGCACGTCACCGTTATCGGCTAAGTGACCTGTATTGGGTTATGCTTTATGACGTATGAAAGCAGTAATGTCCTATGTCCCAGTCATCTGTGAAGCATTTAATTAATGACATTTCGTCTCTCCCTCACAGTTCGTGTTTGCTCTTGTGATTTTTTCCGGTAAACTGTATGTCTTCCAACCGTAAAATGTTTTTATGACAGTAATTTTGAAAAAGTAGGTACGGCTTGGTCATTTCATCACTAAGCGCCTCATATTTATGGGACTTAGAACAAGGTAGATACAGTATTACAAGCAATGGTGCTCATGTAAGTTCGACGATAATGTTGGCCAGAACCCATGCGATGGTTTCTCCTAAAAATTCACATTCTTATGCTCGAGATTTTTGGGGTAGATTTATTAGAGGCGGTATGAAAACATCAGTGGAGAGGGGCGTGACAGAATTCGGATTAACGAATAGAAGTGTGATGATCATGCTGAATTTTGAACAAAAAACTGATGGAAATGCACAAATGAATTGCCTCTGTGTGAAATCACAATCTATACGGAATGGTTAATTTTTGATATCATCACGAAAGTAAAAATCATTGAAGATGAAATTTTCATTTTTGTTGCGCTATTAGGTCTAGTGAATCAGCCAAATTGAGCCAACAGGAGAGATAGTCTCATAGATGTGTAAATATGCTCTCATTTCAATTAACAGACCGTCTATGATTTAATTTTATTTGATGGTAATTTTTAAATTTCCGGAATAATTTTAGTATTGTGAAATAGATTATGATGCTATGGAAAATCGGACAACGACAACAATCACGGCTGTTCCAGCAGTTCCTGTGAAAACCGATGAGGTTCTAGATGCGTCAAGCTCAAATTTAGATCTTGCGGATTATAGTCTGTCGTTGAAATCGCTGCGCACAGGCCCAGTGTCTCTATCTTCACCGCTCCAGTTGACTTCTGTATCTTGCCAAGAAATCAATAAATTGCACTGGCGCTTGCCGCGAGCGGGATCAGCTCCATTGCTCCCGAATCGGAATTTCTCGTTTCCCGTTCGTGATAGTGGTTGCGTTACGGATAGTGCCGATTATGATCAACCGCGAGTGCAATGCGTTGCTTCCACAAGCTCCGCAATTGATGTTGACAATTATCAGTCACCTCATATTGAAACGGAAAGCAAACCGCAAACGAGGCAGCTGCTCCAGAATTTCAGGTAATTATTAGAGAAGTAGTTGCTGAATACCTTGTGCTCCGGCAATAGCGGAACGCTAAGAGCTACACGATGGTGTGTTTTTGCAGTAAGTTATATTGGCTGTTTAGCACGTGAATAAGCCCGCAAAAAAGCTGCACTTCGGTGAGACAGTTTTCTTGCCCGCCAGGCAAAAATTAGCAGTTGGTATGCTTAATTTAGACGAATTTTGGGAAGTGAATTTTTTTCAAACAGCGTTTAGCGATATAGGCCATGAAATATCTTGTTTCTAGCTTTGCTTGTTATCAGTTTATAAAATTTGGCTGGGTTTGGATCTGAGGAGCAGGTGAGCATATAGGAAACTGAAAATCAGTGTTGGCTCAATAGACGATTGGCAGTCACGAGATTAAATCTTCTGCTTTCTGGCTTTTTCATTGTGCTTTTCTGTGCATTTTTGTTGTGCAGCACTGTAACGCTACTACAGAGAGTAAAAACGCATATTGATGAGAGATAGTGTCTGTATGTGTTCGGAAATGAGTGAACTTTATCATCCGCTTTAAACTGAGCAAACAAGAAAACGGTGAGGCTGAGAGTTTGGGGGCATATTCTCACCCCATTTTAAAATCATCCAAAAATCGATTTTTGACTAGAATCGTACACCTAAATTGTGTTTCGAATTGCACTTGCGCCAGTACCTAGGACATTCAAAGATATTTGTAGTGTAGTGGTTAATTCGTTTACCTGACAAACTAAGAAACTGATATCTTGTAGGGATATTTTACGTTCATGCGCTCTACATTCAGCTTGGAAGTGAGATAACGTATACATGACAAATACGCTATTCCATCGCAAAATTAAAAGCGAGTGCGTTTTGCGGCTTAAATCTTCTTCCGACATCTTGCGCACTATCAAATTTTTTTACTTGCTTTCTACAAATTCCAGGGTTTTCGGTGCGATCATGTATTTTTGCATTAGTCTTGGAGCAACCAGTTTATTGGCAGAATGATTGTTGCCTCAGAGTAGCATATGCATTCTGTTAGCTATGTTTTGGTATCCTTGCATGCAAGAGGACTAGGCCGTGGGCTAGGGTGGTAGAGTTGAATCAGAAGTCGCGTGAAATGTTATACTCCAGCGTGCATTATTACCGTGAATTTTTTTTTTT